TTGCTACGGCCATGCGGCAGTTTAACTTTCGATTTGTGCTCAGTTTTGCGCACGGCTGTTGTTCGTATTTACTGCTTTAAGCGTCCACATACCATGGATACAATTAAGGAGTTTCTTTCTCGTAAAGGTTTCAACCATTTGAGCTTCTTTGTGGTGATTTGTTCGGTGGTTTTTGGAATCATTCTGCCTGGAGTCTTCGCTTATATTGAAGCCAGCGAACAAAGATATTTTAGCTGCCAAATAAAAGGTCGAGAAAACAAAGATTTCCTTGAAAAAACGTGTTTTACTGACTACCAAGCCAAAAACACAAACGGTTTTCCACTTTATGGTTTTGTTCTTTTAAACTTCTTATTGGTTATAATGGTGTGCATCTGCTACTCTCAGTCTGTTCTATCTAAAGTGAAATACCTTGAAAGCGAAGACCCCGAAATGCAAACAAACCAATCTACTTGTCTATTATATCGTAGGTATTGCATTCAACTCGCTGTTAGATTCACTCTACACATGATATTTTTTATTCTACAATGGGCAGTCTTATATCCTGTCAACTTTCCTTCCAAGTACGCCTGTGAATTGTCGAGCAATCTTGAAGCAAAACATTCGAATATCACAAGTAGCGATGCAGCAAATGTCACCCGGTCTTGGTATGATTGTCATAATTCACAAGCAGAAACGAAAAAGTTCTGGACCATTACAGTTTTTGTAGTCAATGGTCTATCTCATATTTTTATCCTTCTGGAGTTGATATATGTCATGAGGAAAGCTAAAATCAATGTGTATTTTAGGGAAGATTTAGGGTTTTTCAATATTCATCTGCTAAACAAGGACAACGTCTTTGAAAATTACTTAGCGGAAATGAAGAAAAATATTAAGAAGAACACGAAGTTTTATGAACCCCTTCTTCCAAATATTCCTGGTGAAAAGAGAAAATTGCTCGAACTTGACGAAATTTACACCAATCTGATCATTTACCATGGAAGAGTAAAACACGAATTCAGAGGAGAAAGACACGAGATATTCGAAGGATACCTAAGGTCACAAGAACATCATCAGTCCATGAACAAGATTGAAAACATTTTTGAACCAGAACCAGAAAACCCACAAGAAAGACCTCTCTCTATCATGATCATTGGTCGACCGGGTATTGGCAAGAGCTTGTTATGTCTGCGGATCCTTCGTGACTGGGCCTGTGGTAAAACCTTCAACGAGGAAGCAGGAGAAGGGAAATGTTTTGAATTTGTTTATCTTTTCAAATTTAGACATTTCAACAGTGATGAGAAAATAAATCTTCAGCAACTGCTAAAAAGAGGTCATTTCGCGGGAGCGGTTGCTAATGAGGTCTACCAGAGGATACTAAGCCACCCAGAAAAAGTGTTGCTTATTTTCGATGGTCTTGATGAATTTGGAAAGAAAGAAAACATTGTTAAAGAAGAAGAATTTGGGAACAATCTTGCAGAGACACTTCCATTCTCTGCATTGTATGCCAAGTTAACACTAGGAGAACTCTTCAAAGGAGCTACAGTTGTAACTACCTCAAGACCAACTGCTCTTTCTTATGTATCATTTCCAAATAAAACGTTTGACCGAACTTTGGAAATTCTGGGATTCAATTCAGAGGAAATAGAAAAATACGTGGAAAGGTTCTGTCAACACTCTACTCTAAAAGAGAAATTATGGAATCACATCAGCATCAATGCAAATCTTTTGTCTTTGTGCTACATTCCTGCAAATTGTCACATTGTGTGCTATTCGTTACAAGAACGACTAATAATACGAGATGAAGAAAGTGTTGATGATTTGCCAACTACACTCACTGAAATTTACGAAGATGCATTGGTGCTTATTGTCTGCAAACACAACCCACACTATCGTTGCAGTCGTCCTAAACAAGAAAAGCTGTTATCTGAACAAGGCTTCGATCCTAAAGTAGAAGAATCTTTGAAACGTCTAGGGGAAATAGCTTATGATGGAATTGAAGAGAATAGGCTGATCTTTGAATCAAATGAAGTCAAGAAACATGAAGAAAGTGGTCTGCTTCATCGGCTGCCCGACCAAAAGGTTGGTGTTATCCGACACAAAGAACAGTACTGCTTCCTTCACTTAACGATTCAAGAGCTTCTGGCTGCAAGATACATCGTAAAGAGGAAAAGTTTGAACGAACTGCAAAGCTGGATTTCTGAACATCTACATGAAGGCAAGTGGGAAGTAGTGATGCAGTTTGTTGCTGGGTTGGTTCATCATAAAGAACATATGAACTCTATAGCAGGGATTTTTATTGAAAGTTTACCTCGGCAAACATCTGATGAAATATGGGTGCCACCATATGCACAAAAGGAGCTAGTGATCAGACTTTTCAAGTGCATATTTGAGATTTCACGAAACTCAAATAACCAATGGAAAAGCTTGGTTGCAGACAACTTGAGTGATGTAGTACACATACAGCTGGTTAACATGTCATTAACTGATGTTGATATTACAGCGATAGTGTTCGTTTTACAAGAAATAAAGAGTATTGTAAGTGTGAATGTAAGTGGCAACCACATTACATCTATTGGTTGTCAGGAGATGTATAAGCTACTGACGATGTCAGAATGCAAACTAACTACGTTGTTCATCAGTTACAACCCAATAGGTGATGATGGATTAAAACACTTGTCTATTGCACTGGCTACAAATGAGTGCAAACTAACCACGCTGGTTATCAGTTTGGACCAAATAAGTGATTTTGGATTAAAGCACTTGTCTGATGCACTAGCTAAAAATGAGTGCAAACTAACCACGTTGGACATCTGTGGCAACCGAATAGGTGATGATGGATTAAAGCACTTATCTATTGCACTGGCTAAAAATGAGTGCAAACTAACCACGTTGGACATCAGTAAGAACCAAATAGGTGAAGATGGATTAAAGCATTTGTCTGATGCACTCGCTACAAATGAGTGCAAACTAACCACGTTGAAAATCAGTCAGAACCAAATAAGTGATGATGGGTTAAAGCACTTGTCTATTGCACTCACTACAAATGAGTGCAAACTAACCACGTTGAACATCAGTTACAACCAAATAAGTGATGATAGATTAAAACACTTGTCTGATGCACTTGCTACGAATGAGTGCAAACTAACCACGTTGGACATCAGTTGGAACCAAATAAGTGATGATGGATTAAAGTATTTGTCTGATGCACTCGCTACAAATGAGTGCAAACTAACCACGTTGGACATCAGTCACAACCAAATAAGTGATGATGGATTAAATTATTTGTCTGATGTCCTCGCTACAAATAATTGGATACTGAATACTCCAGTTTCGAGTTCTCGGTTAGCGACCGCTGGACTCTAAGCCGCGTGTTCGCTTCTAACGCGAAAACGAGGCTATCCCTGTATTGCTGGCGTGACAACAACAACAATCCCTTATCAACGAGTGTGTTTTTTATTCCAAGTAGTAGCAAAAGTCAGTAATACGGTGATTTTA